AGGTGGTGAATGTGGAGACTTTGCGGAACCGCGCCTGCTCCTCTCGGAAGCGCGAATGCCCGTCGGCGTGGACGAGAGGCCAGCGGTGCCCACTGCTACGTGCGTGGGCGACATGGGGAGCGAAGCCTCCGCTGCAACGCGGCTCCGTGACGCGGCTGCCGGAGAGGCGTCCGCCCTGAGAGCGCAACTCCCGTGCTCTGTTTTTCCCACGCCTCGCTTTTGGAAAGCGCGGACGATGTTGATGTAGCGAAACACAAAATTAGCAGGAAGGAGGTTTCCATTTTGCTCGCCAACTCTCAGAGCAAAACAAGCCCCCGACAGCCGAGCCGTACCGGTCAGGAGTATCCGCAGAGGGTGGTCAAAAAGGTCAAGATGGCAGCCCATGATGTTCAATCAAAGCTCCGCCTGTTTCTATGCGTGCTGCGGAGATGGAACTTTGATCACGCCGTTGTGGCCGCCATCTTGACTTTTTTGACCGTTCCCAGCGAATACCCCGGAACCCACCTTCATTTAAATCACTAGCCCGAAAATAGATGAGACCAACCCCAGCAGGAAACCTGGGAGTTCCATTCCAGGGAGATTATTTCTCCAGTATGAGATTCTAGCTCACAGTTTTTACAACTGGCATTCAAACCTGTTTCCCTTGGAAAGTTATGTATGCATTCAAAAGTCATGAAGAAAACCCTGATGCAAAAGAAGCATTCTGAGTTCTGTTCAGGACAAGGAAGGAAAAGCCCTCTGTGCGTGCTCGGGAGTAAGTCTTGAATAGGCCCAATTTCTGAATGTGAATGGATTCTGAATGAAATTTCTGAATTTCTCTGGGGGAGATGGGCGGCATATAAATTGAATAAATAAGTAAATAAAATAAGTGTAGCCAAATCAAATAGGAGAACTTTCCTTGGAATGATAAACCAATCCAACCACAATTTGTTTTATCTAGGATTGGGGCAGGGGGTGCCACCATCATTCCTTACCCAAAGAGTTGCAGGGCTCCCATTCTTAATAGCACCAAGCATTGGCAAATGGTAGGGGTGATGGGAATTGTAGTTCAATAATAACAGGATCAGCATAAACTCTTCTTGGGGTCACCTCACCAAGATCACCCCTCTTGACACACCACAAACTTATTCTGCAAATTCCCTGGAAAGTAAATCCCACTTGTTGGGTTGATACCGCATTAAGGAGAGAGGCAAATGCCCTTTTTTTAAAAAACCTGTTATGGTGTTCAAATGCAACTGATTGTGGATTATTCAGTAAACCATGATTCAAGAAATATGGGTTGAACCGAATGTCTGAATGATGCATCTGCTGCACTAGGGGTGGCTCCCTAGGAAGCGTGAATAAAACTGCATCCTAAATCATCTCAAATAAGAGGTTCTGAATGTGGGTGGGTTATCTATTTGCCCTCTTAACATCTGGATACTTAGGACCACGTGGTTAAGGAACTGCAAAATTTACCGTTTTTTCCCTTTGGAATCACATTTAGAAGCCAGTTGTCAATTCTGTTTTGCTTCAAGGTCTTGAGTATGAAACAAAGGGCAAGGAAGTTAATAATTACTTCATCACCTTGGAGTACAAGGGTGTGATGTGTGTGGCCTCCAGGCACAAAATGTTCAGAAACATCCAGTCCTGCTGGCAAGGAAGGTGCCAACCGAAGTTAACGGACACTTTGAGGAGCAGGTGGGAAAATGCCCAACTGTAACTATTCACTATCGACTTTTAATGCTCCTGATTGGCCATATCTAGGGAGGGGGACCCATATATATCACGGATAATAAAAACTAGCAAAGTTAAACATTTCTACTCCTCTAGATTACCAACATCAGGCAGTCAAAATATGATCCCTGAACCTTTAGCAACACGGGCTAGAATTCTGCAACTGGAACTTAATTGCTCCGTGACAGAGTTTCTCAGGCTTGGCAGCCTGAAGACGTGTGGAGTCCCTCCTTGTGGGGGAGTTGGGCGGTGATATAAATGTGACATATAAATAAATAAATAAAATAAACAAACTCCCAGAATTCCCCAGCCATGCTGTATACTGGCTGGGGAATTCTGGGAGTTGAAGTCCACACACCTTAAAGTTGCCAAGCTTGAGAAACAATGGCCTACAGTCACTTTTCTTTCTGTGTAAGAATCATTCACTTTTGCGCATCCTGGCACGGTATTTCATATCTGCCTTTTTGAACTGCGCTCACATACTTTCGGAACTGCCTCGTCCATGCTGAGCTGCGCCTGTTGAATAGCCCCTGGTTTCTGATTAGTAACAGCAGCCCAAGAACATGTTCGGGAATCGTGCTGCAAGTACAGCTCTGAAACCCCAGAAGAAACGCTGAAAAAACGACCAATGCAAAATGTCCGGTGCTGTTTTTATTGTTCCATTGTCGAGGAGCGTCAGTTATTAGCAAGGGTTTTTTCAATAAAAGGGAGAAGTTCCGTAACGCGGGCGTAGACCCCCGGGCTGGATGGAGAGCAGGTGCCGCTGCCCCAGGAGACAATCCCGGCCAGTTCCCAGGCCCCGTTCTTCTGGCAGACCAAGGGACCACCAGAGTCACCCTGCAGGGAGGAACCAGAGCAGAACGTCAGCGGCTGATCGGAGGCTAAGGGCCAGCCCTGCCCTCAGGGGAGGGGAAACTGCTGCCTCAGAAAAGCGATGTGCAGAAGCAGCGGTCACAGGTCCCCAGCTGTTCCTTCAGACCTTCCGGCTCTGCTGCCAGAAACAGAACTGGGAGAGCCGCGTGTCCTCGCAAACAAGCCGCCAGCACTGAAGTAAGAGTCAACGGCTAACGCATGCAGCTAAGCCTCTTTTCTGCCATGTCATGCAGCAGAGGATGCTTAATGGCCTGTGTTTTGCCCTAGAGCAGTGTTTCTCAACCTTAGCAACTTCAAGTAGTCTGGACTTCAACTCCCAGAATTCCCCAACCAGCATGGAGAATTGCTGGGTGGGGAGTTCTGGGAGTTGAAGTCCAGACATTGTAAAGTTGCCAAGCTTGAGAAACACTGCCCTAGAGCATCTAAACCATCCAGTAGAAGCCACAACGGCTTCATGCACAACATAGGCAAGACATGATGGTGCCATGCATTACACAACATCACACAATGATGTCATGCTGTTTGTGATGTTACTTTCCCCCTTGTGGATACCTGTGGTAATTTTTGAACCACCCACTGTGTCTTTTAAAAATATATGTTTTCATTGTAGAAAATGTTCTGCTCAGGGATGCTCTAAAGTGGCTAATGACATTGTTAAAAGCCACAATATACCAACTAAATGCCACTAATGTGGAAACCTATGACTATAATAAATAAATAAAGTGAATTGGTTTGAATGGCTCTACAAAGAAGAAAGAATGGGACCTCAAAAGTTTTATTTCAGGCTTCCCCCAGATGTATGAAAATCAACTCCCAGAATTCTCAGCAATAGCTCAGGAATTCTGGGAGCTGAAGTGTACATACCCAGAGAATGCTGAAGTTGGGGGAGGCTGGCTTAAGCTATGTCTGTTTGTGGATATAAAGATGGCCAGGGGTCTCTGAGCCCTCAGGCCCTTTTCAGACAAGGAGGAAAGTGTATCAGCCTTTAAATGCGTGAGATGACAATCCAACCCAATGCTCAGCATGCCTTCCTTGCCACCTTTCACCATTCACCACAGAAGTCACCATTCTCTGCCCAGAGATTAAGGAGCAGACTTTCCAGGATAGAGACAATGGCCTGGAGCAGGTCTTCAGTCCCCAGAACCAAAGCCGAATGGCAAATGGAAGCAAACTCCCCGGACAAACAAGGACCAGATGAGATCTCGGAACCTTCCATACAGGTCCATTGACCCTCTGAAGATGATGAGAACTTCTCTAGAAGTTCCCCAAGTGGGAGAAGACATGAAGTTAGCAGGAGTTAAGGAAATGATGAGTAAAATCCATCTGGGCGAAAGATGGTTTTGTAACTAGCCACAAGAAATTACAGACTGGGACAAAAAGGAGCCATACCATGCAAGAAGATGCTCCTGCAGCCCCAGCACAGACCATGACATCCGCGATGCGGTTGCCCCAGAATTTCTTGCACTCCTGATTGGTCAGAAGAGGAAGAGCCACCTGCTGCAATGTGTTTGGGGTGTTCTTGTCTGAAATAGATCAAACGAACAAAAATGTTTCCGGGAAAGACACGTAGAGCACTCTAACATCTCTATTCTCTTGACGCAGGGATAAATCCATGTAGACCTCTCAGTTTTAAAAGCCTTGAAATAAGTCACTTGCTTACATTGAAGGAAGCCGGTGAATTCTAATTCGGTGATGCAACTTGATTTCCCAGCTTTGTTTGATGTGCAGAAAAACAACAGTGGAGAATACTTCTGTGCAGCTACTTCCAAATCTGTGGCCTTGTTTGAGCTACAATCCTGGCGATACTCATAGGGATCTGTTTTCCCTGCATGTATTTTTCTCGGGCTTAAAAACATCTTTGGGCAGAGATGTCCACAGCCAGAGGGGCAAAAAAGTCAAGATGGCAATCATTGATACCCTTAAAAAAGAGGCAAGATTTTGATTGCACAGTCACGGCAGCCATGTTGTTGACCCCCCCCCCCCATCTGCAAATGCTCTTGAATCAGCACTGGGGGGAAATATTAAAACCACTTTCCCTCACACCAAATTCAAACTGCCTCTTTTTAAAGTCCCTGCTGAAATACAGAGATGGCCTTAGAGAATGGATGCCGAACGGCTCAAGGCAATCCTGGTTCAGCCCTTTTCCTGGAAGGCTGGTGGTTCAGAGGCAAAAAAGGCAATCAGACTAACTTGTAATATTTACTAGCAAGCAAATTTTCTCCAGTTTCTGATCTGCAGATATGCTGTACTTGAATTTCTATGTATAAACCTCCCCATTCAGCATTTGGTCATACTGGCCGTTGAAATCCATCCAAAGGCACCAAGGTG